GCGGCGCCCGGGCCACGCGGCAGCATGGGCGGCGTAGGCCACGACGCGAGGTCATTCCCTCGGACCGCCGGTTTGGGCTGGGAATTGCTGCCCACCAGGTAGGGTTAAGTCCTGCAAGGAACAAGCCGTTATCCACCGTGGAATACTAAGGTTCCCCAGTCAGCGTGCGGGGATTTAGAATTCAGGAAGTGTGCGTTTGCAGTAGGAAGTCGATCATTCTTGAGAACAAAGGGCCCAATTCTATCATCTTAATACTAACAGTTGAATTGCTCATCTCTCCAAATAAAAATGGGGATGGTCGGGTAGTATCCTGAGTAAACAAATTCACCTTTTAAATAGTATTTTATATATTTGTAAGCACAATTTTAAGCCAGGAAAATCTACTCAGGAAAATCTGCTCAGGAAAATCGACTCAAGGTAGGATGAAAACTGAGGTGACTGAGGAGGGTATCAGGAGACTATAGGCACAATCCTGTGTGCCTCATCAACTAGTTGGTGACATTTTGGACCATAAAGAGAAATAAACCTCACGATGGGATAGAATTCTACTGTATCAATAAGGTAACTCCCTAGATTGATAAAGAGGAATGTAACTGGAGCTGTGCTGATAAAACGAGAAGTCCATAAAAAATGGAAAATGTTGGGAGGAAGGGGTGTAATGTTTTAGTCCTTTTTCATGATCAAAGAAAAAATTAGTATTTATTAGGTTTTCTTAGAAATGAAAATGAATAAAAAGACCCAACAAAGCAGCACTAATATAGAGATTTTATTTAAACTGTATTGAGTTTTTACAGCACATTGCATGTTTGTCACAACGCAACTGCACAGTTTGGATTTTTGGCCACATCATGTCACTTACACCCACAAGAGCTCTGAAAGGAGTATTTGATGAATACATCTGAGCTGAGAGCCCAGAGTCTCTCTCCAAGGCCATGCAGTATGTTCACCGATGGGATAGCCCCTCAAAACAGACAGATACAGTCCCCTCAAATGTCACCAATCTTACTCCCCCTGAAAATGGGCAGAGTGAAGTGCAATGAAAGTCAAGTTAATTAAAAAGCCACTCACAACTGGCAGTAAATTTTAATGATTGAGAAAATGCTTAAAAGAATTTTATGTGTCAGAGACAAGGGATAGTTTGTTACTTTTTCAATGATCTCAGGAATTTCCCAGACACAAAATCTCCATTATTCAACTTCATTTAAACCAAAAAGAGTTCTGCTAGGCTGACCTAAATACGCCAAAACTTTTTAGGTTACATCCATGGCATGTATAAAAGCACAGATGCTTCTCTGTAGGATTGAAGGAAAGGTCAGGACAAATACGATTCTTGTTCTAAATGCAGATCCTAGTTATTTTCAAATAAAAAATTTTTTTTCTAGGAAGCAACATTGAAGTAGCAATTAGACAGCTACCATAGTAGTTTTAAAACAGGATAAGCCTAAGTGTAATTTACCTTTTATACACCAACAAATTAAGAAAAATGTATAAAGGAAATCCTAGTGGTTTTGTTATAGGTCAAGAAGACTGTATCTGTCCCACCCATAGTACATGGCTATATCATTGTATCTTTTGGTTAAGTGCCACTGGTACATATTAAGATGAAAAAAACAAAAAATAAAACACGGTTTGGTCCAAATGGACACATTTTCTCTCCCAATTTTGGTATCAAGGCTTTATTCTCTTCTGTTTGGGTTCCATTGTTAAGTGCACAGAAATAAACAGCAGCATTTGTACTGAAACCCTCACATACCAAACAGCATATTCTAGGAGGTAAAAACCAAACACTAAATTCTACCCTCAAGGTGTCAAGTGTTCAGGATAAGAAGCAGTGTGACCCAGAGGAGGCAGCAGCCAAGGGAAAGACAACATGGGGGAAGTGGGCAATGGAACGACGACAAAAAAAACATGGTTTTATTTTCATGCCAGGAGAGGATCAAGGTGTAGCTCCTGTGTTAGCACCAGGACAACTAGGAAAAATCAGGCGCAAAGGGTAGGGCACAATCAGCAAGTATTTCACAAGGATAATTTCTGCTTTTTCCTTCTCCTTCACAGTGCATACCTCAAGAGCCATCACTGAGTAACAGATTCCTGCCTTCATAGCTCAAAATAACTGAAACTGATCTTTGCCAGGACTGAATATCAGCAGAGTTTTCCTCTGCTCCCAAAAATGTCTCCTTCCCTAGAACTGACCCCTAAACTGAATATTCACCGATGCTGGCCAATAAGCCAAGTGAAAAATACAGCAAAACCTCCACTTGCTGAACCAGTCTTTAAACCAAACTCCACAGAAAGACAGAACTAATGCAACTAGAGGAAATGCCTCTAAAGACTGAGCCTTCATGCACAGACACAGAGCACAGAGGTACAGGGTATAGTTCATTTCAAATAGGATAGGAATTCCTATCTTATATACTATAATCTGCTTTTTTCAAGGTGGAGGAGAGATGGATCTGGTTATCACTTGGAGTTTGGTTATACATATGCCTTTCTATTGCTGTTTGGGGCACACATCACCAGGCAGTATCTATTAAATCATTATCTTGTGACTCCCCCAGGAGAAAGAAGCTGGAGTCACCAACTCAATGTTAAGCTTCCAGACTCTGGGTCTGGATCAGAACCATTACCCCACGGTGAGGGTCTCACCCGTAGAGGACCTCCTGTGAAATTGGAATTCCTCTGCTCCAGTCTCATGATACCGAGGATTTCTCAAGATGGTATCTTGGAGCTCTGTGATTTCATGAGCCACACCAAGGAACCTTCAAAACTACACCTGAAGCAGATCCTCCCTTCAAACCTGCTATAATTGGACAGGTCATCTCCTCTAGCATTCAACTGGAAGCTGTAGCAATGGGTTTCTTCAGATGTTGGCTCATAAGTTCCCTGGCACGAGATACTTGGATGTGTTCGTAACATGAGTTACAGACGAGAACTGGGTCATAGAGTTGTTGATCAGGAATGGGCAACTTCAGGTGGCAGCAACCAGCACAAAATACATTCCCACAATTTCTGCCAATGCACAAAGAGGAAAGAGTTCATCAGAAATGCCATTATGCTGCACACCTGAAACTAATAAAAATATTGAATGCAAACTGCAGTTGAAATACATTTTTTAAATAAAATAAATGCCACTATACTGAGAATGAACTGATACTCTAAACGGCTTTACATGAGTAAATAAAAAAGTTGGGAGCAAACAAAAATAGTTCCTATAAAGATGTCTCCATTTTCAGATTAATTCAATTTCATTCATATATATGTACCTCACTGTTTTTCGAGCCATACTAAATCATATAAAACATCTTACCTGCAATGGTGTCTTCGTTTGGCCAACCAGAATTCACAGTCACAGTTATAGCAGTGTGATGCCATATGGTCTGGAACCCAGCGAGTCACCTAACAGGACAAGAAAAAATCCCAGATGGTTATCAACAAAGCAGAAGAGCAACACTGCAACAAGGAGAGTGTCCCAGGAGAAAAGGACAATGCCTGTCTTTAGAGTTGGCCACTACTCGCCTAAAAAGAAGACACTGGTCTATAGCACGTCACTCATCTCTCAGAAATGTGAGAACGCACTGGCTCACATAAGTACCTGTATTTGCCTGGACATACCTCAGTCTCTTTCTTATCAACAGGTTCCCAGCTTGCTTCTGAAAGGCAGTCTTCACTGTGATCAGATCCGAAATCTTCTGTATCACTGCCATCTGACTCCTTCAAACACGTCTGAAGAAAAGGTGAAGACATCCACATCATCTTCATCTCTAACACTTATTGATTACTATGTGTCACCCACTGTTCTAAGAGTGAACTTCTTTAATTCCTCACAACAATCTTATGATGTATACTACTATTATCCACCTTTTTACTAATAAGGAAATTGCACCACAGAGAAAGTTAAGAGCTGACTGGTAGTAAACCTGGGACTGAACCTGGTATTCTGGCTTCAGACCCATGCTCTTAACCAATATGCTGTAGCACAGTATGGAAGGAATATTTCTGTTACAGCTAAACCTGGGGTTTGCAAACTATAGCCCACAGGCCAAATCTAGCCCACTGCTTGTTTTTATAAATCAAGTTTTATTGGAAGAGAGCCACACTCATTTATTTACATATTGTCTATGGCTACTTCTGCCAACTAGCTGTGAAGGAAACTATGTATGTCCCACAAAGCCTGAAGCATTTACTATCTGGCCCTTGACCAAAAAAGTTTGCTGACTCCTGCTTTAAATCATCACCCTGCATAGTAAAAAGTTGTTGGACCTTCCCATCCCAACAAGTGTGCGTTGACGAAGTGGGAATGTCTTAGCAGGAGGAAGTGCAGTGCCTGTGTAGATGACAAGATATTATGGGCAAGAAGCTGACGCCTAGAAGCTCCTTGAGGACTGCTGTGCCAGAACCTGAGGCCTCCCAACACAGCAACGCCTAAATGGGTCTCATCACCTCTCACCTGGATTATTCTGAAACATCCTAACCAGCCTCCTAACC